GTCTAATTTGGGGGAGGTCTCAGTCATCTATTTATCTTCTGGTGTTTGTGTGTGTTTAGTTATATTCAATAGTGTATTTATGCCCTGAATTAGGGCCCTTAAATTTATCCCTATTTTTCCTTTGATGGTCTTCATGGTTTTATGTTTTACATTTAGGTCTTGAATCCAGCTTGAGTTTGTTTTTGTATGTGGTGTGAGTCCTGTTTCATTTATCTGCAAATGGATATCCTGTTTTGCCAGCACCATTTATTAGGGAAACTATCTCCCATTTAATAAATTTTGGCCCTTTGTCAAAGATCAGCTGTCCATAGGTGGATGGATTTACTTCTGGGTTCTCAGTTTTGTTCCATTGGTCTGTGTATCTGTACATTGTACCAGCACCAGACTGTTTTGACTCCCATGAGTGTGTAGTAGGTTTTGAGGTCGGGCAGCGTGAGACCTCCTATCCTGTTCCTCCTTTTTAATAATGCTTTGCTTATCTGGGGCCTCTTTCCTTTCCATATAAAGTTGTTTAGTTGTTCTATCTCATTAAAGAATGCTTTTGGAATCTGGATGCTTTTTATTTGTAGATCACTTTGGGTAGTATTGACATTTTCATGATGTTAAGTTTTCCTATCCATGAGCATGGTATACTCTTCCATTCATATGGATCTCTTTTGGTTTCATGAAATAGTATTATTGTGTTAGTTAAGGTTGTTGTCTTGGCTGGGCCTGGTTGAGTGACTGGGCAGCTGGTCGTAGTTATTCTCCATGATGAGAGTAGCAATCAGCTCCATGGCGGGATCTACCACAAGCAGCTGAGTAGCTGCTTTAGGGATATGGTCTGCTTTCCATATATAAGCAGCAGCTCTGGGAATGGTCTCTAGCTTATGGCATGCTTGAACCTTGCATGGAGCTGTGTCATTATTCAGCAGCCTGCCATGCTCTGCTGACCTTGGGACTTTCAGTGGACTTGAATTAATGGTGTGCCATGTGGTTTAGTAACATCGGGACTATGCCATTTTACTTGTCAACCTTGGGCTTGTCAGCCTCAGCAGCCAGTAGCTGTCTGACTGAAGAAAAGCCTTTAGCTTCAGTGGGTTGGGAGTGGGAGGCAGAGCTGAAGCCCAAGGTTGAGGGGCTTTCACCTATTCCCTAAAGCCTGGCACTTTGAACTCAGACCTAAAGCCTCCAAACTGTGAGAGAATAAACTCCTGTCTGTTCAAGCCATCCCATTTGTGGTATATTCTCATCACGGTGGCAGTAGGTAACCAAAACAATTATGTAGTTTTCTTAGCATGTCTTAGTATTTCTTTTGTGTCTCTGGTTAGATTTATTCCTAATACTTCATCTTTTAGCTATCATGAATAGTTATTGTCAATGATACTGTTTTCCTGATTTCCTTTTCAGAGCTCTCTTCATTAGTGGAAAGGAATCCAGCTGACTTTTTCCCTTGATCTTTTACCCTGCCACTTTGCTAAAAAAACAATTAGTTCTAGTAATTTCCTTACTGAGTCTTTAGGATTTTCTATGAATAAGATCATATCATCTGTAAATAGAGATAGTTTTACTTCTTCTTTGCCAATTTGGATGCCCTTTATTTCCCTTTTTTTACTTTATTGCTCTGGACTTCCAGTACAGAATTGAGTAGAAGTGGTGATAAAGGGCATCTTTGTCTGGTACCCATTTGTAAGGAAAATGTTTTCAGTCTCTCCCCATTAAGAGTAATGTTGACTGTTGCAATTAATTATGTTGAGGAATTCCCTGAATTACTCTTAAAACCAAATAATAGTTTAGCTTAACTAGTAAACAATGTCTGCCTTGAGCATTATGCTCTTTTAAGAACATATGGGAACAAAGAGACAACAACAACTTGAAAGATTAGAAAGGAACCTTATGAGGGGCAGTGAGTTTATGTTAATGAGGGAAGAACAACTCAGAAAAAGATGAGAATAGTTGTACAACTCAACGAATGTAATAAGGTCACTGAATTTTACATATAGAAAAAGTTGAATTGGTATATGTTTTGCTCTGTATATTCTTTGTGGAATATGTGTGTGGTATCTTTTATTATTTTTTTAAAATTTTTCTTGTGATTTGTTTACATAGTAAATTTATTCTCTATACAGCAGTTCATACACATTTGTTTCATGACATTAACTACAATTCCTACAATTTAACAGTTCTCTTCTCACTTCCTCTCCCTGTAGTTACCTCTTCCCTGTGTCCTTCCTTCTCATGAACTCCCACTCCCCACCCCCAAGCTGTCTCCCTGTGCAAACAGTGCCCTTCTGTTCTCCTATGATTGACTGCTCTAAGGAGTGTCTCTACCTGATGTAAATGTTCAACCCATATGCCTGTCTGTTGTTTGGCTGAAAGCCACAGTAGTGAGCTCAATTCCAGAGCTGAAGAGTTATTAGGGGCCATAGTAGTCTCTGGGATCTTACCAGGCACCAGGCTCTATCAGACCAGCAAAACTGGTGGGGTTTTTTGGTTTGTTTTTTTTTTTTTAATGATTTTGAGTTTTGTTCCACTTTATTCTCCCACTCTTTCCAGGATCTCCTGCACCAATTACCCTCTGAGTAGTTGACAATGGTAGCTGGGCACCATCTAGTTCTTCTGGTCTCATGGTCATATAGGCTGAGGAATGGTCTACCAATCCCTTGGACTAATTGTTTCCATGCATCTTTGGTTTTCTTCATTCTTCTTTGCTCTGGATGAGGAGAGACCCATTGTTGCATGTAGATGGCCGCTTGCAAGCTTTTAAGACCCCAGTCACTACTTACCAAAGTGGGATTTAGAACAAATATTTTTGTGTAGTATGTTACGCCAATTGAGCTTGATGTCCCCTGTGACCATGGTCCCAAGCCTGCAGATCCTGCTACTTGCTCCCTCCGGGTAGCTGGCTGTTGCCAAGAAACCACCACAAACTTGCCCCTTGTCAGCTCTACTATACACCTGGACATTCTTACAGCACATACAAATATGCAGGAAGAAACATTGTGTGCTAACCCTATACATGGTCATGGGCACACTCCCCACTGCCTACACATACCTGATCATTCAACCTTTTCACCCATCTATCCACCCATACATCAGTGCTTGTCATCCTGACAATGCAGTACTCTATATGCAAATGGGTTCATCTTTGTTGTTTGTACCTCCCATGTACCTCTCTGTGTCTTCCTCTTCCTCACTGCCACCATGTTGATCACTCATTTTTGGTACATTGCCCTTCCCTTCACCCAAATCAATACTTGTCTCTACCTATCTAGCAGTGTTCCCCCCCTCCCACCCCACCCCTGGTAACCAACAAAGAAAGTTTCCTTCCATGTATAAACCTTTCCTTGACTTTTTACAATAATGAACTGATACAACATTTGGCCTTCTGTGATTAGCTTATTTCACTCAGAATAGTGTTCTCCAAGTTCATCCACATTATACACTATTTTATAGATTCTACATTCCACATTTATTTGCTGTGTATATTCTCAACATCAACAACAAAATAAAACTTTTTAAAAAAGAAGCAGAAGTCAGGTCAGAAGATAAAAACTAATCTTGAGTTAACCAATGTTAAGAAACTGAATTTATTTTTGTTTTGGTTTGATCTTTTTAAAGTTATTTTTAAGACTACATAGTATCTATTCTTAAGTTGGGATTTGAAATGATCTTTGGTGAAAAGCAATATAATGCTTATATAATGAGCAACTACAATAACAAAAATAGAAGATAGGTTCTTTGCATGAAGTAATTCCAATAGAGCATAAAAGATATAAATGCATAATACCAAACCTGAGCACACTACACTAAATGATGTTGGAGTGATTAATGTTACCTTCAGTTTACAAGATTGGGCAATCTACTTCTGTAGTGATACCACCTCGGAAACCCAAAGCGGGGTCACTATGAGTCAGATCTGATTAGATGGCAATGAGTTTGGTTTTTGAAGAAGCATTGTATGTTACTCTTCAAAATGAGTACTATAAAAAGCACATTAGCTTGTGAGATATTTTAATAATAAATACTGTATCTGTGGAATATGAATAGACTTTCATTTTAATGCCTAATAATATCTCAAGATAATAATACTGGAAATACATTTGCACTTTTAAAAAATATGTGTATTTTTTACATAAAAGCGTTGCTCCACATCCTACATTAGTGAGTAGCGACTGGAATCTTAAAACCTTTCAAGCAGCCATCTAAGATGCAGCTGTCTCCTAGCATCGGAAATGAAGAAGAACGCCAAAAAAAAAAAAAAAAAGGTATTTAGAAGCAATCAGCCCTAGGACACGATGGCCCTCGAGACCAGAACTAGATGGTGCCCAGCTACTAATGCCAACCACTCAGGAAAGGATCAAATCTGGAGATCCTGGATAGAGTGGGAGGGAAAACGTGGAACAAAATCCAAAAACTCAATAATGACCAGAATTACTGGTCAGATGACATCTGGTGAGACTCCAATACTATGGCCCTGGAATACATTCTGTGCCTGGAATAAAACTCACTCCCAGGGGTGGGCTCTCAGCCCAATAGTTAACAAGATGTACACGCAGACCACTCAACCCAGGATGACACACCCACATACTCTATGGTAATACATCCCTTAGAGCAATAGACCATGGGACACCAGAGGACCAACATTCAAACTGAGGAAATGCAGGACAAACAGGAGTGCATAATTATGAGGGGCACAGGGAGAGGGTTACAGGATAGGGAGGGGAGGAGACTGGGTTAGGGTTGGACATGGTGAATGGGGAATGAAACTAATGTACACGTTACATTGAATGTAAAACAAGCTCTTAAAATTATATATATATATATATATGTATTTTATAAAGAAATTAATGAATCCTTTGAGATATAACCTATTAATGAATATCTTTATTTTGTACATCAGGATGATACTTTTTGTTCAAAATATAAACACGTATCTTACTAATACTCTGTTTTGTTAGATTTGAGCAATAATGTTAAAGGCTTTGTTTTGTTTTGTTTTGTTCTCTCTTGCTTAATAGAAGTGAGCTGAGTCGACAGAAACTTTATACCCAAGAGCTGCTTTCTCAGCTGGAAATGGCAAATGAAAAGGTAGTTGAGGTAAGATAAGGACTCTCCAGGGAAGTACTTTCTGTTGCAGCTTGATACACACATTAGAGAATTTTACCTGAGCCATGTCCAAGTTAATTCTCTTCTTGGAAATGTCCATACATCTGTAAGTATTTCTTGTGGAAACTATCAATAAGCCTAAAAGTTCATACTTAATATGAAATAAAAGCTTTGAAAGTCAGCAGTCCATCATATGTAAATGATAAGAGGTAGAGTTCTTATTTCAATTTTACTAGTATAACTTCTGTAATGTTTCAGAGAATATGTTGGGATCCTATTTATTCCTATTCATGTCTAAGATTATACTTTTAAAGCACACACCTCTTTATTTTAATCTATCACAAAACACACAAGAAAATATATTTGCCTACTGGAAGCAAGAATGACAAGACTTTATGTTTCATACTTTGGTCATGTTATCAGAAGGAACCAGTCCCTGGAGAAGGATATCATGCTTGGTAAAGTAGAGGGTCAGTGAAAAAGAATAAAACCCTCAACGAGATAGATTGACATAGTGGCTGCAACAATGAGCTGAAGCATACCCAAGATTTGTGAGAATAGTGCAGAACCAGGCAGGGTTTCATTCTGTTGTATATAGGCAGCTGAGAGGGTGGAAACGAGGAAACAGGAAATGAAGGAGGAAACGAGGAGGGAGGAAGCGGAGCACGCCACCCCTATCCACTGTTCCACTTGCCTGAGCAACAGAAGCTGCCCAGGCCCTGGAGTCCCCATCACTGCCACCTACCTGCTTGCCAGACAAAGCCCGAGAGCCCACACCCAGAAATACATCCTCTGCCATCCTGCCTGTATCCCGCCCGAGGCCCAGGGCTGCAAGAATCTGGGTTTGGGGTCTTTAAAACCATTAGGAGAAAATAACAAACAAAAGGAGAGCTGCTTTCCATTTAAAAAAAAAAACTTTATGGGGTTATGGGGAGCACAGGTATATGCAATTGGACATTGCTTGAACACACATTAAGCAACACATACCTGTATATATTTAAACATCTTGGTAAAATGAAACAGCTAATATAGTCTTCTTTATAAATTTTAATTTTTGGTCTGGCCATGATAAGAATTACAGTAAGCTTTTAAAGGGATACTGCTTTTTCAATATTTTATCTTACTAGGCATGACATCCACAGTTATCACTTGTATTTTAGAACATTGGAACTACCTAGTTTTTCATAGAAAGTGTGTATTTCTTGCTATCACTGATTCAGCTTATATTATTCTCCTGATTCAGATTAAGTGTTATACAGAAAAAACAGTATAACAATTCTACTTGTACAAAAACATTTTTTTAGGAAAATCTGTGCATATAATATGTAATATAATATGTAATAGTACAAGCTGGAAATGCCAATTAAATTGTAGTCATCAGGCCAGATTTAAAATAAATCAGACACATCAATAAAAATTTAAAATAAATGCTTGTTCCTAGAGCTATGCCACTAATGTACTGCTTTAGGCTGCGGCTAAGTACTGCCATCAGATGCACAATAACCATTCTATTAAGTATGGAAAAGAACAATATATGTTCATATTGATAGATTCTTTGCCCTTATCTACATAACATGTTGTGACAAATTTGTATTCATGTTGCTAAATAATTCTATTAACCCTGATAGCCACTAGAATATATAATGTATTGGGGAATTACAGAAACAGAGTATGGTAGTTAAGGTGTGTGTCAACTTGGGTGAGCCATTGGTTTGAGTGGCTCGGCAGCTGGATGTAGTCATTCCCCAAGAAGAGATTATAATCATCTCCATGGTAGAATCTGCTGTGACCTGCTAAGTAGTTGAAGGGGAGTTACCTTTGGGGGTGGCTTGCTTGCTTCCATTCCAGTATATATGCAGAAGCTTTAGGAAAGGTCTCTAGCTTTTTGGCACATTTGGATCCTGCATTTGGCTAAGTCTTCATCTCCAGTTCCTGCTCTTGAACCAGTGGTCTGCTGTGTTGCCTCCTGATCTTGGGATTCTGCCATTTTACCTGCTGACTTTGGGTTTGTGAGCCTCTGCCGCCAGCAGCTGGCTGAGTTAGGAGACTACTTTAGCTCCAGTGCACCTGGAACAAGAGGCAGAGCTGAAGCCAAAAGTTGAGGGGCCTTCACCCAGCCCCTAGAGCTGGCACTCTGAATTTGCACTTCTAGCCTCCAAACTGTAAAGGAATAAATTACTGTTTGTTAAAGCCATTCACTTGTGGTATTTCTGTTAAGCAACGCTAGAGAACTAAGACACAGTTTTTCCCTTTTTTCATGATACTTTTTAACTCTTTTTAAAAATCAAGATTTCTAGAATGAATATTTTCTGTTCTTTGAACTTTAAAAATGATAATTTCATAATTTCCCTGGAAGCTTGCTGCAGCACAGTGGTTCTCAAACAAGCAGCATCAGCATCAACAAGGGACTTAATAGAAATGGACATTCCCACAACCAATCCAGAAACTGAGTCTTGAACCTCTGGTTGTGAGGCCCAGCAATCTACTTTTTCACAGACTCTCCAGTTAATTCTGAAGCACTAATCTGACATCTCTTGGAGCTCTGGTAGCACAGTGCCTAAGGCATTTGACTGCTAACCAGAAGGTTGGTAGTTCAAACCCACCAGCCACTCCTCGGAAGGAAGCTTGGGCAACGTACTTCTGTAGTGATACTGCCTCAGAAACCCAAGGAGGGGTCGCTATGAGTTGGGTCCGATTTGATGGCAGTGAGTTTGATTTTGGTTTTGGTTAATCTGATATCTCAAGTCTTGTTCTTAACTTCTCATTTACATTTAACATCACTTTTCTTCTGAATTTGTACATTTACTTTCTTTGGTAGGAAAAATAATAATAATTCTGTCAGAACATAAAAGTAACTTTGGGCTTTAAAACTCATAACTTGAAATATAAACTTGGAGATAAATTATCTTTGCATTTTATAAGTGGAAAACATTGATTATTCCACAAAACATCTCCATGTTATCTATAGTTTGTAACTTGTTTGTATTATTCTCCCTAACAGAATGAAAACTTAATTCTAGAGCATCAAGAAAAAGCCAACAGACTTCAAAGGCGTCTAAATCAGGCTGAACAGAGAGCTGCTTCAGCTTCACAGCAGGTAGGGAGCATCTTCATAATTCCTAGATGAAAAATGGTCTGAGTAGACCAAAAATATTAAAAGGTCTTTAGAAGTTCACAGAAAACTAATAGTTTCATTTTTACTTGATTGAACTATTTTTAAATAGTTCCTTTAATATTTGAGATTGAAAAGGTACATTTTAGAAACAGAAATAAACTTAGCCTCCAAGCTGACACCTAGAACTGTATTGTCTAGTATTAAATTTAAATTAAATAATCAGATTCTTGGTCACACTAGCCATATTAAAAGTGTTCAATAGCCACATGTAATTATAGCTATTGAACATAGATGTAGAATATATCATCACACAAAAATTCTATTGGACAGCACTGCTCTAGAATTATGTTGTGTCTAAAACTAGGTAGATAGTCAATGACAGACTTGAAAGTAGATAACATTTTTGAATGTAGTATTTGAAATTGCACTACCTTCATTTTCATTATAGTTTTTAAAAGGGAAAAAAGTACTTGGAATACCAGTTATTAACATCATCTAATACATGATGGCACCTAACAGCAACAGCAGCATGTAAATCTAAAATATAACAGTTGTCCAATGAGAAACAGAATAGAAAACACAGACTACCAGTGAAATACTAAGAGGTAATTTCTTATAGTGTACAGACATCATATAAATAAAATGACATTTATTCTAAAGTAGGAGCAGTGTTCCCTCCTATTTGGAACAAAGTAAGACCAGTTAATACAAAAACACATAATGAAAATATATAGGTAGTTACTGTATTATTAATTATATTTGGTTGTAAGTATATTGTTTCAATCAAAATTAATGTTATTTTCAGCTATTACAACATCTTATACATAGTAAAGCAATTCTAAATAGTCACTATTCATGATGTTTATAGATTGTTTTTGAAATCCACTTCTGTTGTGAACATGGCATGGCCCTTAAAATACAATGATAATTTGCCCTTCTATTCTCCTCCCTCTTGAGAGTAATTATAGTCTTGTCAAATGATTTTAATTCCCTGTAAAGTGTATTTAATTAATTAATCATTCATTATTCGTTAATTCATTTGTTCATTTATATTATAAGTAATGGGAGTCAAGGTGCACTGGGCAGTATCTTAAGAGAATGTGTTTTGCTGTCAGGCAAATTGCCTGGTGCCATTAGGTAGCCATGTGACTCTGTGCAGTTTTACCTTCTGTGAGCCTCTATTTCCTCATGTTTCATTTAGATGTAATACACCTCTCTCACACAGTTATTGAAGGACCAAAAGAATTAATGTGTAAAGCATTTAGCATAGTCATTAAATGGTAAATAGATAGACAGATAGCTGTTTAAGAAATTACTTTTCTCTGTAACAGTCCTTAAAGCTTCAGGTTTACCTTTTTTCTGAGAAATACGGTAAATAAAAGCCTACCTAAAATCTAACTATCTTGAGTTCTGTAGAACAAAAGGTACAGAACCTTAATTACATGATCCAGTTGGCATCCAGTTTAGTTTCCATCTGACAGAATTAAACCTAAACAGTCTAACACAGATGTGTCCCCTGTTATTTAAACTCTCTAGTGGCAGAGCTTCCACCACTCTCCTTGTGAACCTTTTTTTTTTCCCAAAATCATTGTATTTATTTTGTTGTTGTTAAAAATATATACAGCAAAACATGTACCAATTGAACAGTTTCTACATGTACCGTTTAGTGATACTGATTCCATTCTTTGAGTTGTGTATACATTCTCACCCCCTTTTCTAAGTTGTTTCTCCCCTATTAACATAAATTCACTGCCCTTTAAGGTTCATACCTAATCTTTCCAATTGTTGTTACCAGTTTGATCCCATATAAATATTCTGAAAAGAACATAATGATCAAGGCAGACAATTTTTACTAATTAAGCTAAACTATTGTTTGGTTTTAAGAAGACTTAAGGGGATATTTTTGGTTTAAGGTTTACAGATCATCTCAGGACAGTAGTTTCCGGGGATCATCCAACCTTCATGGCTCCAGGAAGTCTGGAGTCTGTGAGAATTTGAAATTCTAGTGAATATTTTTTTGGTGTTTTTTTTTTTTTTTGTTAATGTTTTGTCAGTAACCACTTCACAAATTTTTTTGTCACAAGTTTTTTCTTAAGCTTTCTTTTTCAATTCTGTTCTTATTGAATATGGAAAATAATTACTCAATATTTTTCCCTGGAACTAATATTTTTTTTTCTATTTTAAAGAAGTCCCAGTCCTAAAAACTTTCTTTATAAGATACATATTCAGTTGTTTGAAATACTTATTTTTGCCTTCTCTGAATCCTTTCTAATTTGCTCTGAAAATTAGAAAGTGATACTAGAAATATAAATATATATATATAAATAAGCTTGATATTTTATGAGATGAAAGAAATTAACAACAACATTATCTCTAACATGTCAGACTTGCCATAATGCAACCCAGCATCCTGTTACTGGTTCGTCACAATCCCCACATTGTACTGACTCAGTCATGCTCTAGATGTGTTGTTCTGATTAACTTTTTCTGTGCGTTCATCACCTATCTCTGAGCAAATGAGTGTAAGTATATCACTCCAAACAACTGCATGCTATACTGTCTTCTTTTCACAGCATGGCATTTTTTAAATCAGTGTAGTGAAGCCTTTTTAAGCAAGAACGCAAAATCTAAAAGCCATAGGAGGGGAAAGAAAAGATGAATAAATGTGACCATATAAATTTCAAATCTTTGCACAGGAAAAAAAGTCATGAAGTCAAATGACAAGGAAGAAATCATTTGTAATACATATGACAAAAGGATAATATCTTAAATATATATAAATGGTGCTAACATTTTTTAAAATGCTCATCCTCACCTATAATAAGACAGACACAAATTTGCTGTAATCACATACCACTTTTCACCTATCAGATCACGAAATTTGATAATGCATTTTGCTAGCACTTCCAACTTTTAAACATTATTGGTATGCTCATTGGTACAACCTCTTTGGAGCACAGTCTGGCATTAAAACCAAAAAACCAAACTCACTGCCGTTGAGTCAGATCCGACTCATAGCGACCCCTCCTTGGGTTTCTGAGGTGGTATCTCTACAGAAATAGATTGCCCAATCTTCCTTCCCAGGGGTGGCTGTTGGGCTTGAACTGCCAGCCTTCTGGTTAGCAGTCAAATGCCTTAGGCACTACGCCTCCAGAGCTCTTACAACTGTGGGTCAAAGATTATATACATTATCACTCAAAAAAATTATAAATATATGTAATCTTTGACCCAACAGTTCTAGGAATTTATTCTGCAGATTGTATACCTGCATCTGGGCATGTCTATACAAAGAAGAATGGTAATATTAATTGCAGCATTATCTATAATTTTAAAAGATTAGAAACCATTTAAATGTCTAACCATAGCAGGCCAGTTAAATTATGGTCTGTCTATACAGTGGTAATAGTATGTAGTTAAGAGGAATATAGTAGATCTAATATGGAACTAGAGGAGCTCTGGTGGTACAGTTGTTAAAGCAATTGACTGATAACCAAAAAGTCGGGAGTTCAAGCCCACCAGCAGCTTGCAAAAGAAAGATGAGGCAATCTGTTCCCTGAAGATTTATAGCCTTGGAAACCCTATGTCTTAACAGGTTTGCTATGAGTTGGAATCAACTCAATGGTAGTGGGTTTGGTATTCGTTTTTAATATAGAACTATTTTTAAAATATATTGTTTAGAGGAAAAAAGAAACAAAATTAAAAGTGTGTATCATACTTTCATTTTTATAATAAAAAGGGGCTAGTGAATATATATATATATTCTCATTTAGAATATTTCTAAATATGTACTTAGAAATAGTGGTTGTACCTGGAGAGATGGCTGTGGAATGAGGATTGGGAAGGAGGTTTCTGTGTATTCTTTTGTACTGTTTGCTTTTTTTTTTTTTTTTTTTTTTTAATATGTATAAATATTTTCAATCCCAATAATATTTAAAGATCATTTTCCTATTAGACTTTTCTTACTATCTGTCATCATCTTTTTATTAGCAGCCGTCCATTGTGTTGGCCCACATTCAGTTTGTATTTTAGATAGTTTTCTGATTACCATTTGTCTAGAATTTTTCATCAATCTATGGAGTATGTTTGTGAATTCTAAGAATATCATTCTGAGCTATAGAATGTCATATTGTCCTTTCATGTGCATTTCTCTAATGCAATACATTTTAAGTCTCAAGAGTAAAATAGAAATTAGTACAAAAAGTGACCTTTTCTAAGACCCCTTCCATTGAGAAGATTATTTTCAATAATTGTAGGTTGTGATGCATTGTACTTTGTGTTAGTCTAAGATTTTCTGTAGAAAAAGTAACTACTTACTGATTGTTTATTTTAATTGCAGCTCAGTGTGATTACAGTGCAGAGAAGAAAAGCTGCCTCCATGATGAATCTGGAAAATATTTAAAAATATTCATAGTTCATTCACAGCACCTTAGAGTTGGGAAATCTGTTGGACTAGAAGTGTATTGAAATGATAAAGACTTCAGACAATGGTTAGGCTTGTGTCACATTTTGCATAAGCATTTTCTATTCTGTTTTGAGGGTTATTGGAAAACAGAACAGTGACAGCTTCCTGTAAGTAAAGAAAATATAATGCTATATTAAGCTTGAGTAGAGAATAAAGCCAGCTGAGAAGAAATCATTGCCTTCATCAATATGCCTATTTTTTAATTCCCCCTTTTTGCCTTGGAAGAACATAATAATTTTCAAAATATGCTAATATGAGAGGTTTTGTGAAAATGCTAGAATTTTAATACTTTACGTTCTAAGATTTGAGCATTTTACATCTAATTGTTAGTCCTAACTAATTCTTAAAGTTCCTAAGTATCAGTTTTCCATTATGAACTCATAAATGTAATAAATTATACACTTTCTAAAATGATGCTGTCATGTATTTTAATGTATATTTGCAGTGATTCATTTTTAACTTACATTATTTATAGAATTTACAGAACTTGATATCTAAGAAAGAATTTGGGAGGATTTTTTTCCTTACTACTAAAAGCAGTGCTAATTAAATCGATATCTTAGATTCTGAGAATGCAGATTTTAAAAGTCCAAATAAAAGATACTCAGGGCTGAGGAGTGGGTTCCAACTCATAGATAGTGAATTTGAATTTGAATTTGAATTTGAATTTGAATTTGAATTTGAGGTGACATGAAAACATTCACCTGTAGATATTCAGCCAGCAGCTGGAAGTTGAGGACTGGTGGTTACAAATTGGATAGTCATGGAACTCTTTGGGGCATGGAGCTGAGAATTGAAGCCTTGGGGAATACAGGATCTTGCCTTGGGGACTTACATGATGTGGTGGTTTACTTCATCCACGTCTTCCCACACCATTCTCCCCATCTGTTTCTTGTATTCTTACCCTGATGACTTTCTTTTCATTCTGTCAATACGTCATCTTCCTTCCTACCTCTCCTGTTTCAATTACACATTCTTCACATCACTACACAAATGTCACTTCCTAAGAGCAGCCTTCCTTAGTCCCCGGATGAAGTTATTGTTGAGTGTTATTCAAGTCATTTCTGACTCTGCAGTCCCTTGTGGTAAAACTAGACCTGTCCCATAGGGTTTTCTTGGTTGTAATCTTTACAAAGGATCCCTGGTGGTATAATGGTTAAGCATTCCCATAAAGTGTACAGCCTGGAAAATCCTATGGTCCAGTTCTCTTCTGTCATGTGCAGTTGTGATGAATAGATTTTGACTCCACAGCACCTAACAGTCTTGATGGAAGCAAATTGCCAGATCTTTCTCCCATAGAGGTGCTGAGTGAGTTTGAGTGAGTTCAAACTGGCAACCTTTCAGTTAGCAGCCAAGCACCTAACTGCTGCACCACCAGGAATCCTCCAGAAAAAGTTAGGTTCCCTTATTATATTTCTCTTAAGAGTGTCCTGCATTTTTCCTTCATAGCACTTATCAAAATTTGTAATTAATTCCTTTTGCAATATTTTCTTTCATGTCATCTCCCCAGTAGACTGCAAGCTCCCTGAGAGCAGGAGTCATGTTTACTGTCTTTCATCATTGTATCTTTAACATCCAACTTAGTCCCTCATACATGGAGTGTGTTCACTAACTAACTATTTGTCCAAAATGTGAACAACAGTTTTTAAGGCCAGGACCTTAGGAAAATGTTTTAATTTGTTTAATGAGCTCAGGAAGAATAGACGTTGAAGGAAACTGAATAGAATCAATGAAAAGGTCATAACCAAGAAAATCCAGTATGATAAACACTAAAGGAAAGAGAAAATCTGATCTTTTAAATAGGAAGGGGCAAGTGCAAGATACTGTCAAATGCAGTGATTGGACCAATGTATAAATATGGCCAAACGAAATCAAAATCACTGCCATCACGTAGATTCTAACTCATAGCAACCCCCATTGGGTTTCCAAGTCTGTAAATCTTTACAGAAGCAGACTGCTTCATCTTTCTTCTGTGGAGCAGTTGGTACGTTTGAACCACTGACCTTTTGGTTAGCAGCCAAATTCCTTAACCAGTACACCACAAGAGCTCCTTTTAAATGTGCCAGTTAAGGGATAATTGAATAGGAAGTATTAGTTTATTCTCATTTCTTAAAGAACTTTTCATTTGATTCTCTAAATTCCTTCCCATGTCATTCATAGAATAATCACTGTTTTGTAAGTTATATTCCTACCAATGTTTATAGAATATACAGTTTATTTCTTTATTTTTAAATTTTATTTTATTTATTGTAATATGGGTGAAGATTTACAGAGCGAATTCACTTTCCATACAGCAGCTCACATATATTTTGTCTCATGTCATTGACCACAGTTTACAATGCAACAGCTCCCCTCCCACTTCCTCCCCATAGTTACCTCTTCCCAGTGACCATCCCTCCATACTCTCCTGCACCCTGAGCTGTCTCCCTGTGCATAAGCAGCCATTCCTTCTCCCATGATTGTTCTCTCCAGGGCGTATGTCTACTTGAGGTAAATGTTTAACTCACATGCCTGTACATTGTTTGGCTGGAAACCACAGGTGTGGGTTCAATTCCAGACCTGAAGGGCAGCCAGGGGCCATAGTCTCAGTGGTTCCACCAGGCTCTATTGGACCAGCAAACCTGGTCCCCGCCTTCTTTTTTTTTTTTTTTTTTTTTTTCCAAATGATTTTGAGTTTTGTTCCACATTGTTCTCCCTCTCTATCCAGGATCTCCTACATCCCTTCCAAGTGGATGACAGTGGTAGCCAGGCACCATCTAGTTCTTCTGGTCTCATACTTGTATAGGTTGCATATCAGATGGTGTACCAGTCGCTAGGACTGATTGTTTCCATTAATTTTGGTTTTCTTCTTTCTTCTTGGCTCTTGACGAGGAGAGACCCATCGTTGCATCTAGATGGCAGCTTGCTAGCTTTTAAGATCCCAGTCACTACTCGCCAAAGTAGGAGGTGGAACAATGTTTTGTATAGTATGTTATGCCAATTGAGCTTGACGTCCCCTGCAACTATGGTCCCAAGCCCTCAGGTTCAACTACTCAGTCCCTCTGGGTAGCTGGCTATGACCAAACAGTGACCCCAACCTTGCCCCTTGTCAGCTCTACTAGTATATACAGTTTATTTTAAAGAGCTCTTAGAGATTAGAATTATCTTTGCCAAAAAAATGAGATTGTAGGAGAAAACACTTCAGAAACTAGCATCCCAGATGAAAGGGTGTTTTGGTTCTCTAGTGCTGCTCTAACAGAAAATACCACAAATGCATGGCCTCAATAAACAGGGATTTATTATCTTACAGTTTAGGAGGCTAGAAGTCAGAGTTCAAAGTGCCAGCTCTGGGGGCTGGGTAAAGGCCCCTTGACCTTGGGCTTCAGCTCTGCCTCTTGCTCCCAGCCCACTGAAGCTGGAGGCGCCTATTAACTCAGGCAGCTGCTGACTGCTGAGGCCGACAAACCCAAGGTCAATGAGTAAAATGGCACCATCCTAGGATTATCAAGCAACACGACAGGCCATTAGTTCAAGTCCAGCAACAGTCCCAAGATCGGCAAGCAAAATGGCAGGCTGCTGAATGAAGACTTGGCTAAATGCAGGGTCCAAGCATGCCAAAAAGCTCAGAGACCTTTCTCACAGCATCTTACATACTAAAAGCAGACCACATCCCTAAGGCAGCCGCTCACAGCAGATTCCCCTGTCACAGCAGATTCCACTGTGGAGCTGATTACCAGTCTCATCCTAGGGAATCACTGCATCCAGCTATCCAGCCACTCAGTACCAGGCCCAGCCAAGTTGACACATAACCTTAACTACCACAAAGGGATATAAATATTATTCTTATACAAATAAGAATACATTCATTTCATCAAGGTAAAATTTCAGAACTTAAGCACTTTGGTCAACCTTTGGCCATAGGCAACTGCTGTTCAAATTCTAGTATAAATAACTTTTCCCCCCAGTTGGATCCCCTTCATGCCACTTAAGATATTTATCCTCCAAGGTAAGGATAAACCAAAAACATAAACCCAAACCTGTTGTCTTCAAGTCAGTCCCAACTCGAGGAGATCCTATGTCTTACAGAGTAGAACTACTCCATAGGGTTTTCTTCATTGTAATCTTTATAGAAGCATATTGCCAGGCCTTTCTTTCTTGATGCCACTGGGTAGGTTTTAACCACCAACCTTCAGGTTAGTAGTCTATTGCAAACTGTTAGTGCCAAGCAGGGATCTTAAAGGAAAGATACCAAAAAAACAAAACTCACTGCCATTGAGTCGGATCCAACTCACAGCAACTGCTCCTGGGGTTTCTGAGGTGGTATCATTATGGAATTAGATTGCCCAACCTTCCTTTTGAGGAGTTGCTGGGGGTTTGAACTGCCAGCCTTCTGGTTAGTGGTTAAATAGGCTACTGATATTCAGTAAAAGCTTTTCTGATTTCTGTTTAATTTGAACAACCTTAAGCTATGTTGAACAACAGAACTGAATATGTATGGTTATTTTTCTTTCACAAAAGTTTATTAGTAATTATTTGTAATGTAAAAATATAGTGGAGTTTTTAACATCTCTCATAGTAGTCTGTCTTGACTTCATTTACAGAGACAGTGTCATTTATTCTGTGCATTGTGTTTTAGACAGGGAAAATGAATAGGGAAGAGAGAAAGAAAATTATATAAATCCAAAATTGGGGACAACACAACTAGATCATTTTATTTATTCATATTTCCTTTTGTGTGTCCCTGAGGAAGAAAGGAGATATGATTTCCTCCTTTTCTCTTTGTATACAAATATGCAAATTGGGGCAGGCAACAGTCTTCTAATTTCTCCTCTGGTGTAAGAACTGTATCTATCACAAAGATAAGAGGACATCAACAACAACTCAGTCATTTGTTTATTCAGCAAATGTTGAATACTTCATAGCTGTATAATCTGTCAAGCCAACTCTTAGACAAATCA